AAAATTTAATTTTTAAATAATTATAATAAATAAAAATTAAAAAATCATTAAAAACAGTCCCATTGAAAAAAAAATTTTGAAAATATTGTCGTTAGATAATAGTTCATGTTTAATATATTAGAATTGGTATAAGTAAAATAGATAATAGATAATAAATTTACCGACATGTAATCAATTAGTATTTAACGTAATTTTAATTATTATTTGTTACAAAAATATTATTATAAAATCATGATAATAAAAAAATACTATAATTATGAAAGCAATATCTATTCAAGGTTCTTAAAAAAATCCGTTTAATATTTAGAAATTTGACTAATTAATTTAGTCAAAGTATATACTTATTATAAACTCTTTCATGCTATGAATAAATATAATAAACATTTTTTATTTTATTTTTTTTACAATCAACATGTTTTTATGAATTAAAAATAAACAAATAATAAAATTCAGGTATAAAAAAGTCAAGAATGATGATACGTAACGAAAACTTTTTTTTACAATATACAATAAATAAATAATAGATAATATTTTTATTAGCATGTAATCAGTTAAATTTTAAGGTAATATACATGCTTTTAATCTTGATGTTATGTATAAAATAAATTATATTGAGAGAAAAATATTTATTTTGCGTGTGCTTATGATCCCTAATGGAAATTAGTTACTACTTCCGATGATAAATATTTCATACTTATATCATAACATTTTTAGTGAAATCCTTTCTCTTAAATTCATATATTTTATATGAAAAAAAAATATATAATTGTGAGAGAATATTCCACTAAAATTAGTCTTTTACTAACAAAGGTTAAACATGTTTTTTAAAATGTGTGTGTTTCTAATATAAAATTGATTTCATTCAAAATAAATAGCAATTTAAGCAAATCTAAATAACATTTTATATGAAAAAAATGACAAAAACAAAATGAAATATAGCTAATGAGTGATACTACCAATCTCCACTATATACTTAAGTGGGGGATCAAACTTCACTTTTGACTAAAAGACACATATCAATCTACTTTTATTAATCACTTTTGGTTAACAATGTAAACTAAGAAAATGTTAATTAGTTCCCTTTATTTTATGCATCAATTAAGAAATTAAAAATATAAAATTTTCATCAAAAAGTGTATTGCACATTCTTCTACGTAACTTTATTTTAGTTTATAATAAATTTTTTCTAAATGTTGACTCCTTAACTAGCGTTCTAATAGTTATAAGTACCCTTAAACAAAACATTTATTCCTCTATTATTTATTATAAGAAGAAAAAAATTCATTTTACACATATTAAGAAAATTAATTATATGCATTAAATATTATATTTTTGTAACATTCTCCCTCAATTGTAATGGTTATAATGTAGAAAGAAAAGAAAAAGGTAATATATCTAAAAAGCCATGCAGTCAAGGATGAGTATTTTAGGGGGATTATCATTAAATAAAATAAAAATAATTGAAATTTATTTATATTTAAAATAATAAAAATAATATATGTATTTTTTTTTCTTATAATAGAGAACTCGAAATAATAGTTAACTCATATATACTAAACATAAATTTCTATCTTGTATTAAAGTGTTTTTAAGATTTTTTTTTATCGAAAAAGTTTTTAGAACTTTTTAATTTCTTATCTAATTTTTTATTTATTTATTATAATTATGAATTTCAGTTCCTATATATTAAACAAGAATCTTTATCTTCGACGAAAAAAATTTTAGAATTTTTTTTTGACCTCATATATAATTTAATTTTTATTTATCATATTTATTTATGAATTAAATTTTAATATTTTAAAAATAAATTATTAATAAATAAAATAATAGTATACTATAATATAAATTATTTATTATAAATCTAAAATATAATTTATATGATAAAAAAAATCTATTTATACAAATTTTAAATCTGATTAATATGTTAAACATAATATTGTTTGTTTTTTTGCTAAAATGTTAGTTTTGATTAAAATTGATTTTTAAGTGATGTATTTATTATTTGGATACTAATAAACCATTAATGATAATGTTTCGGTATAAAACCAAACGCGGAAAATGATGATGTTTATGATGAGAAGGAGAAGCCTGAACGTACATTTTGAAAACTGGACAAGTGCTAGCTAGATTTCACTTTTATGACCCGGGCTTTCGAGTATGATATGGAAGCCACGTCATGCATGGTACAGAGTAAGATGACAAAGATAATAGTTGGCATAATAACCCCCCTAAACTAGTGCAACACCATATGTTTTATTTAACCTTTTTTTTTCTCTTGTTCCAATTCATCAATTTCTCTCCCCATCTGTCATGTTCTTCAATGTAACATATTCTCCCAATTTTCTTGACATACTTTGTTAAACCTTTCAGGGAATGGGACTGCTGATTTCTTGGCCACATCTTAGTTGATTTCAGCAGGGGCATGATCAGCAGTCTCTTTGGTTAGATCTTTCCGATACATTGGCTTTTCTTGTAATGTTCTGATTTTCTCAACACTTTTTCAATTCAATTTTTTTTGGAATATTGTATTTAATTTCTTTGGTAATTTTACTCTCAGCATGAAAAATTGAAAATGGGGTTTGTTAATTTGCTTTACCATCATATCATATGTCATGTCCACTGAATTTCAATTGGAGATTTTCCCTTTGTTACATATATCATGATCTTGATCTTGTTATTTCTTTCACTTAATTAGGATGTTAATTTTATATATAGCCCAAATTGGACGTTGATTTGTCGTGTTTCATGGACAAGGTTATGGGAAATTAACGAGAGATGCACAAATTGAAGAAGTGAAAATCATTATGCATTGACATTGAATTTTGAAATTTGTGCACGTTGGGTGTTTGAATAGAAAAACACTTGTTGATTATGATATTTTAAGATGTGAATTTTCATTTAGATTGTGGTTTTGCAGCTCAATAAATTTTCCATTACAAAACCTGGACCTTGAATCATTTGGCGTTGCTCGCTGATGGAAACTGGAGGTGATAACAAAAATATAGGTGAACAAGGACACGGAATCCCAAGTCATCCTTCACCACCACCAGCATCATCATCATCACAAGACCCTTTCCAAGTACCTAATGATGCACCCAACAACCCAAGTAATGAATGCAAGAACAATGATACTACTCCATTTGCAAATGAACCATCACCAGGAAGTCCATTCCATGAGCCAACAAAAACTGACGGCAAGACCCCTTCATGGGAGACTAATGAAGATGATGATGTTCGAATAAGCTCTAAGCCAAACCAAGGATCATCAGAAACACAAAACCCTCCAGTGCAGGTGATGGAGCGTCCAGGTGAATCCGCAGGTACCTCTCCTCAGTACACTTTTCCATCCCATGTTTTCTCCAAGAGCAACATAAACTCCCCAGTGGAATGGAGCACTGCCTCTAACGAATCACTGTTCAGCATCTATATGGGAAACACGAGCTTCTCAAATGAATTGGTTGGTTTCAAATCCGGTGAGTTGGATAAGCCTGGTGAGGTGTACATGTATGATCAGCCCATTGCCTCGCCAACTCCAGAACAGCCACCTGCCAAGGTGAACAAGTTCAATGATATCAGCCAAAGAACTGCTGAACACCAGTTACTACACGAAGAAAGTTCCAAAGCTACTGAAGCAAAAGCTGCTGAGACAATGAGAGAGGTTATAATGGAAAGTAGTCAAACCACAGAGAATGTTGCTTCCAATTCTCATCGCCAGTCAGACGGGAGTGCCAAGTCCTATGCATTTCAATCGTAAGCTTTGATCACTAACTACTTTCTTATCAATCTCCACTTGACAAGTAATTTAGATAAATACGTATGCAATATCTTAGTTGTTAAGAGCTGTTCTTTTATCAGAATTAGAGTTTCATTCCGAGAATATGTGTTGTATTATCAAAGTGAATTTTAATTATGATTGAACAATGACCCAGACAACACCCATAATACTAAATCTGTTTTGTCTATATTAAAATTCAATTGTGTTTCACAAGACATCATCATTATCCAATAATTTCTCGTAGTTGAGTTACTACTTAGAATAAAACTATTAGTAAAAGGATGATTCATGAGTTACGCGTGCTTTTTGATAATAAATAATGACTTTTTTTCTCCTTTGAATTAATGTGAAGGTCGAAAAGTCGAGATAAAAGAGCTTCATCCAATGTTGCTGGAGAGAAGGAAAATCAACAGAAGCCGTCAGAGGAAAATGAAACACCAAATACAGCTGATCAGGCCCCAAAATCAAACAAATGGCTTTGTTTTTCGTGCTGTCCGTTCTGTAATTAGGACACATTAGATAATCACAGCAGAGTCTCTTGTCTTTTGGCACAAACATTAACTATTTCTGTTGTCTTGTTAAGATAGTATCATGCATCATCTGCGTAGCAGAATAGCTCTAGTCAGTTAGTTTTAATTCTACTTTTATTTGTCATGTTTACTCGGTACATCCTAGTTGGGGAAATCGGAGGTAAAATTTCTGATTGACTTTGTATAATAGGTTCTTAGTTTGATACCAATACCATTAACAGGTTAACAAAGAAATAACAGAGGTAAACTCCTGGTATTCCATTGCAAGCTTGTCTTCTCCCATGTAGCGTGCATCTAGATTTGAATTTCACAAAATATATTGACAACCAGCTGAAATGACTCTTATTTACTCTAATGAAATGATACAAGTACAACGAATTGTATAAAAAATTGTACAACAAAGAGAAGAAAAAAAATTAAAATACAATAAATTATGTGATAGAAAGATAGACACACAAATATAATATTGTAAAAATTGTTTATATAAATTATTATACGTGTATCATTACTTTTTATTTTACTAGTTTGCAAGATTGTGACAATTGAAATACAAGGCGGAACCTAATTATAAAGTCTAAAATTAATCGCAAAAAATCAATAACCATAAAGAGATGAAGAAAAAGAGATTCCAAGCCCTAGCCCAATAAATAATTTAAAGTATAAGCATATAAAGTAATCATGCACCGAAAATTATACTATTCCAGCCACAATTTTGTCACCTACATTCGGCCCTCAAGTTGTGCTTGATATTTCAACTATGTCAAGAGTTTAGGAATAAAAAATAGTCCACCAAAATTTATACCATTCCACCACAATTTGTGACCTACGTTCAATTTGTGCTTGAGATTTCAACTATGCCTTGAGATTTCAACCAAGTCAATGTATTCCATAGCAACAAACTTTTTACACCAAAAAAACCCTATATTACTATAAGTTGGGAAATATTATAATTATTTTAAGTCATTTTATGTTATTAAATTGGATTGTTATTTAGTATTGAAAAACTTTAAGATTCGAGGATCCCTTAGTAATTCCAATAGTGTTGGAAGATTTTCTAGATAGAAGACCAATTTGACCCCAAGAGAAATAATACATAAAGGTTTCTATTTTAAACACAGTCTCAAACTTTTTTTTCCTAAAAGTCTAAAGATAAGATTTTAGAGAGAGGTGCTTTAGTTTATGAGTTTCCTTCAGCTCTAAATCTTCATCTTTTTCTTTCCCAATCCTTACTAGTGTTGTATTATTGTTGGATTCAGATCAGTAGTGTCAATATCAATTGAGTGAGTTGTGGAATTAAGAGTTCTCTTCTTCTTTCTCAATTAGCTACGATTTTGAGGTAAAGAAAATTGAACTTATGTTTTCTTTCTTGTACGTTGGATTTGTTGGATGATTATGGTGTTGAACATTATTTGGAGTTTGCACTACTATGGTTGAGTTGATTGAAATGGTGAAAAGTTACGTGAAGGTTGATGTTTGAGGTTCATGAGAAAAAATATGATGATTTACTATGTATTGTTGTTAGGTGTTGGTTTTTTAGCTGGATTTTGGTTGCATGTATAGTAGAATCATCGTTCCATGTTGCATGTGCTAGATTCTTGTTGCATTGCAGGTTTTTGGTTAAAATTGGATTCTGCATATGCATAATTCTAATATCGCGTTGGGTGCACCTTCATGGCGTCGGGCGTCGTTCTAACTTGAATTTATATGTCTTGATCACGTCAAACGTAGCATTGGTGACGCTAGGCGTGAGGAGAGAAACTCGTCTTGAGTTGACATAGCATAGGGCATGGTTCAAATGGTGTTGAGTATGAGAACTTTGGGAGGTTTCTAACTTAGTGACATCGGACCCAAAGTTAAGTAGCTCCTATTGTGGCCGAGTGGTAGCTCTTTGTCTGGAAGACATCGGTCGCCAATACGACAATGTCAAACGTGAATCAAGCAAATACTCTTTGCTTAAAATGAGGTCAAATGTTGTACTTTACCATGTCAGACGCAAGGTCTTAGGGGCCTCTACCAAAGCCACACCAAGCGCAAGTTGTGTAGCATCGGACATGGGTGAGGTTGAGAGTTTCCTACCTGGATGACGTCAGATGTTGTGTGTGTAGCGATGGGTGATGGTTGTTGAAGAAAAGTTGTTGAATTATATGATGAATTGTTGAATTGTTTGTTGTTTGAGTTGTGTTTTGACAACATAAGGATGACTGAGTTGTATGGATGTTGTTTTATGTGTTGATTTCATTGTGAGTTGTTAGTTGAAAGTTAAAACGAGTTGTAAATTGTGTAGTTGTGTAGTCATGTTAAATGTTGTTATATGCATGACATTATTGTGTTGTTGAGATAATGATTGTTGAGAATACTTCGAACATTTAGGCATGGTGTTGTTGAGTTGCGATGACCAACCTAGGACTAGAAGAAAGATTTTAAAAAGTTGCATATCTCATTGAGTGGATATTTTGTTGTGATGCTCTGAGAGCCTAAGTTTGTTGAAAAATCCTTTTTGAAAAGTTGACCCTTGAAGTTAATAGTTGTGTTAAGACTCCGTTAAGACTTAATTAGTATTGTGTGGACAAGGTCGAGACACATGTGTATGAAACAACCACGGTATAAGGGATAGGTCGAATTATACTAATTACAAGTGACTAATCGAATAAAGTACGAAGTCAAAAACTTAGTTTTTAACTGAGTATCGAAAGGGCATAATATTTGGAAGGTAGTCGGTGAATCAATTTCATCTGAGGTTTAGTTAAGCTAACTAATATTATGATAGGCTCATATCAACTATTTTACCCTAACAATGGTGTTGATCAAGTTAAAGACGAAGACATGGTCTTAGTTGATTTTGATGATTACAAATAAGCCTCTTGAAATATAAGAGTGTAACTTGTATTTTGTTTTGTGTTTTGAGCCTTTTGAAAAAAAAATGCAAGTTGTATCTTGTTTTCTGTGTTTGAAGCTTTGTTGTTTGTGTGTTTTGTGTTTGGTAAGTAACTTGACCTTTTATCTCTATCTAGATGATGATTGATGATTAAAATAAGTGTTATAATTGATTTATAGAAAATAAATGGCATGAAAAATTGAGATATTAAGTTTTTACTTAAAATAATCGATTATCTCAAGTAATAATCAATTATTTACTATGTTTTTTAGTAACCTAAGGAGAAATTATTGTTGTAATCGATCATTACTAAAAAAAAAAATCAATTAAATTGTTATTGGTTGATTTTCATATATGTTACAAATAAAATAATCGACTATCCATGTAAATAATCAATTATTACAATCGGAAAACTTATATATATATATATATATATATATATATATATATCATTTTTCATATTCATAACAAAGAAACTTTAATATTTGTGATATATTTTTTGAAAACACTCTCTGAGAAATATTCTTCTTTTAACTTTTGTGGTAACCTTAAGAAATAATTCAAGAATTGAATTCTTCATCATATCCATGAAGTGAAAGGATAAATTACTTAGTTGATTCACATACTTTAATATGTTATGTACATTAGGTGAATTTGTTCTTTAACTTTTGTATTGATTATTTTTCTTAAGTAGGTTTCTTAAGAATGGAAAATATCATGGTGGAGTGCTACAAGTAAATGTTTCTTGTGGTGCAATAAGTGGTTTCTTTAATTGCATATGATTTTGTGATTATAAAACTTTTGACATCAAATATTAGTGAAAAATCTTAATCGTGTTGATTGGAGATTGGATATAGGTCACGAGTGGATGTGGCTTAATTAGTATAAATTGGTTGTGCATTTTTCTATCTACCTACTATTGACTTTACACTCTTGCATTTTTATTTATATGCTTGTTGTTATGTGTCATGAGACATAAACATTCCATAAAGACTTAAGTGAATTTAGTCTTACATTGAATCTAAACTAAGTATCCAAAATACAATTATATATTAATATAATTCTTCAGAAGAATTTATAAAAGTTTTCAAAACCAATAAAACTATGCAACAAAATTTAAGTTATCAATTCACCCCCTTTTGGTTAGGCCATATTTTCTAACAAGCAGTAATAAACTTTCTTATTGAAGTGTCTACATCCAATAAATCAAGTTGTTATGTTGTAGATTTATATATAAGAGTTAATCATTTATACACTGCTAGTGTAAAATTTTTTTACACTGGCAACCAATTATATCTTTTAATTATGTCATGTCACTATTAAAAGTAAATGTGTTTATAGTGACATGACACAATTAAAATATATAATTGATTGCCAATGTAAAAAAACTTTACACTGGCAGTGTATAGGTGATTAACTCTATATATAACTTGTTGATCTAGCAAGTCCAAAAAGATCACATTGTGCTATTGATTTGGTATAGTCAAATCACTTAAATTACTTACCATGTGTTGTAGGAGATCTCATAGTTATGCGTGGCGACGCATGTAGTTGTTGTGTTGTAGATACTATGTTGCTATGATGATCACGCTGTGTTGAAAATATTGTGATGTTGAGTTGATTTTATGTTGTGATAGAATAAGTTGCTTGTGTTGAATTTTAGTTGTCATGTTGATATGTGTTGTTGTACGGTGATATCTTGTGTTGTCAGTGTCAAAGATGACGCGACGATGTATTTAAAGTTGTTGTTTTATGTTGTATACATGTTGTTCTTTAAACTCCAACTTATTCTTGCCTGTTTCCATGTGTTTTTGACTATGATAATCACATGTGATGTAGAAACAAGGCAGTGATATGTATGGAGTTTTAAGTGGAGGCTTTTGATGTCTTTTGATGACTACCTTTTTGGGGGTGGTTTTGTATACTTTTGTAAAAGTTACTTGATCGACAACTTAGGGTTGAATAGTTTGTATTTACAAAATTATTGTATTTATATTGCATATATTCATGTAATTGTTTATATTTATATGTATGCAATATACTATATATTTTTGTATATGTAGATCTATAATCCTAAGTTAATTGCCTTTTTCGTTGTTAGTAATTGCACCATATAGTATAAGGATCATGATAGATCGTTACAAATCCCACCTTGACAAGCCCATTTTGAACACTTTTTGACTAATTCTCAGGGATCACACATCCTAGTGAATATGAGAATATAGTAATATACCTTTTATGCTCAATGAAACCTACCTTGACAACCTCAATGAGACGACTCTACTTATATCCCTTAAATCAAACCTCTAAGGGCAATCACCCTTGAATATAAAATGAAAACAAAAATGTAGTGATCCACTCTCAAAAGTAACAATATTACATATTGAAGCTCTAGGCTCTTTCTTTCTCCAACCAATAATTCTCATAGGTGATCCAATTCTAATATAGCAGTTGATGTATGATTTTAGTATTTTAAATTTTAATTGAATAAATTTAGTTTTTTTTAGTATTTTAGTTTTGTAAATTTGGTTTCTAAATTTTTAATTGAACAATTTTAATACCTAAAATATCCCAATTATATAAATTAATTTTTACCTATATATTAGTAATTTTAACAATATATATATAT